ATGGACATCAGCGTATAATTTGTTAGTGTGATTTTTTACTTATATACGGCCAACACCACCTTGTTAAATACGCCTTGGTTGCAACTTTGTTAGTTTCTACTTAGTTGCTGGACTATGAATACGCGCCAATAACTTTAATAATTTCCTTAGCTGTGGCAAGTTCAAAACGTTATTTGGGTGGTAATTCCGCAGCCATATTATAGATTATTTGCGTTGGTGTGGATCTTATCAGACCTAAACATCTTCTAATATTTGCATTACAACATGCAGAGAATTTTTGTAAAGACGATTTAGAGATATAGCAGAAAGTTGAAGCAGCATAATCCAATTTGGAACGAGCAAAAGATTTATATAACTGTAAAGCTCTTCTAGGATCAATTCCAAATTTGCAACCACTCAAGATATTTAAAAATTTGCAAGTTGAATTAACTTTACCAATAACATGATTAACATGAAGAGCACAAGAGTTGTTTACGTTGATAATTCTTCCCAGATATCTGATGCTATGAACCTGTTCCAGATGAGTATTATTAAACCGGATATTTAAACTGATAATTTCTATTATTAAATTAAATTATTTTGGTTTTTTGAGAATTTAACTTAAGTTTTAAGTTAGAACATTCACGTTGAAATATATTAATTTTTTCTTCAAGGATTTGTTTGGCTTGATTTCGAATTTTACGTGAACAAATTCATTCCATGTAATTGAGCAGTATAAATGTTAAATAATGAAGGTGTTCTGTACAAAGCTTAATAAAACACGTTATTTCTCAACACGATTAGAAACACTTCTATTTTTTTTACAAAGTTGGACTCATATGTATATATATAGCAAAGCAAAGCTAAGTGAATGCTGGTAACGGCTAACTGTGCTTACATACAATATATTTATGTATATGGTTACGTACAAGTACATGGGTTGACAAAATAGGTACAAACATATGTATATAAAATTGGGAGAGTATAAGAGCACTGGACGGCAGCCGGTCTTCAGCGACACCAGTTTCTTACCGCGAGCATTTAAGTGGTGGCCAGATCAGTCGAATTCTGCACATCCTGCCCGGTCGAGGCCGTGGACTCGAAATGTTCGCTATCAAGAAGCCGACATAGTTTGTGTACTGCCCGGGTCATGGTGCCGCTCGCCGTCCGAAGCGTAACATTGCGNGGATGATCCAGCAGCTGCGATGCCCGAATACCTCTACTGGCGTAATCTGCCGGATTCTGAGCTGATCTTACATAATGCCAACAGTTTGGTGAGGTTAACTCATGTATTTGATGCACCCGGTTCGACACAAACGGCTTTAGAGTAGTGGGCGGCTTGCGTAGCCAACACAACACAATCCGAGAATCAGACCAGTGGTAATAAGGAGTATCTGTTAATCTGAAGGAAATACGTACGTTTTCGAGGGTAACAGCGAGCAAATGTGCGGCACAAAGCTCCAGACGCGGGATCGTTGCTCCTTTAAGGGGCGCCACCTTGGTACGAGCCGTAAGCAGTGATACAGCTGAATGACCTTCCGCATCTGTGGCTCTAATATATATTACAGCTGCATACGCGAGCGTACTGGCATCGCAAAATCCTAGCAGGGTAGTAGCTCTTCCTTCAGCCATACCTAACCATCGCGGAATCCGGATTTTGTTTATTACGTCGAGTTCGCTGTAAAAGGCTACCCAGGTGGTTTGAAGTTCATCTGGCAGTGGTTCGTCCCACGACAAGCCAGCAGCCCACAACTTTTGTATAAATATTTTTCCAGTAATAACAACTGGTGCCAGTATGCCGGTAGGGTCGAATAATTTTGCGACGGCACTTAGTACCCGTCTCTTCGTTAGGAAGCCTAAGCTCTCTTTCAGATCTACCTTGAAAAATAGCTCATCTGCTGCTGCATCCCATCGAAGCCCAAGTACAGTTGCTGTTGGTGATTCGATGGTCATCTCTACGTTAGGAGAACGGTTGCCAATCAAGCGTGCTAATACTTCACCACTATTGGAATTCCATTTACCCAAATGGAAGTGGCCTTCAGACAATATGGAAGTCACGTTGAATGCAAGTTCAGTTGCATTTTCTTCAGTGTCACAGCTGGTAAGAAAATCGTCGACATAAAAAGACGACAAGATCGCATCGCGTGCCGCTATCGATTGTTGACTATCAGCGACCACTTTGTAGTTGTCGTATGCGCATTGGTTGAGTGCGCGGACCGCGTTGTAGGGACTGCTAGCCATACCATAAGTCACCGTTGTAAGGCGGTATATAGTGATGTCATCGGTTGGGGACTCTCTCCAAATAATGCGCTGAAAATCTCTATGCTCGGGTTTAACAAGTACCTGTCGAAACATCTTCTCAACATCGGCAGACAATGCGATGCGAAAGCGGCGAAAGCGAAATATTATGTTAAGTAGCGGATCTTGTATTGTCGTTCCTACCAGCTGAACTTCGTTCAGGGAGACGCCGGTTGTAGTTCTCGCCGAGGCATTGAACACAACGCGAAACTTCCCCAAAACTGCATGATGCGGGATATAAAAGCCCATTTCATTATCGTTANGAGACGCCGGTTGTAGTTCTCGCCGAGGCATTGAACACAACGCGAAACTTCCCCAAAACTGCATGATGCGGGATATAAAAGCCCGTTTCATTATCGTTCAATGAGTATGCGCGCTCCATATGGCCTAGGTCTGCATATTCGCGCATAAAAGCAATGTATTTCTCCCGGAGTTCACTATTTGCTGCCAGTCGCCTCTCAAGAAGGTAAAACTGTCGTAATGCATGAGTATAAGAATCTCCCAAAGCCGGCGCATCAGGACGAAATGGTATGTATAAAACGTAGCGTCCGTCAGGTGTGCGAGAGTGGGTGTTACAAAAAATTCGCTCGCATTCGTCATCTCCATCATATTCTAGGGAGGGCACTTCCTCTAACTTCCAAAAACTTCGGAGCAGTTCCTCCAAGTGTATGTCCTCGTCGCATAGCTGCGTACTTAATGCGAGAGTTGGCAACGTTGAAGGTTGTGCTGCAGAAACTGGGCCAAATATGACCCACCCGAAAGCAGTGCGTTGAGCGTGCGGCTCACAAGGACCGCCAAATTTGAAGTCAGTTTCGACAACTTGACCCCATACGTCAGCACCAATTAGCACGTCGATATTACCGGGAACGCCGAATTGTGCATCCGCTAATTGTATGCTGGACAAGTGCTTCCACTGTGTCATGTCAATATACGTTGCGGGGATGACCGTAGTAATTGACGGAATGACAAGCGCAGTTATCTTCAGCGTAAAACTAGTATGGGCAGATTCTAATGTGAGCGAGACGCTACCACGAGCGCGAGCGGAAGAATGGGCACAAATTCCTTGGACAGGGATATCACATTTACGTCTACGAAGAGATAAAGAATTAGCTAACTTATCTGTAACAAAACTGACCTGCGATCCCGGGTCACAGAGCACGCGCGCCATGCGTCGAGTCGTTGGGTCACCGTATGCATAAACGCGTGCTGTCGCTAATAAAACTGTGTGATGCGCATTGGTATGGCAGGTGACCGCCGAAGCTTCTAGTCAGATGGACTGATCCTTGTTCATGGGAACCGGTTGAGTGGTTGTCGCGGTCAGCCCTCCTGCGTTCGTAGATAAAGTTTCCCGACAAAGCAATGAGTTGTGCTTCCGATTGCAATGTCGGCAAAGACCCGAAGGGCACTGCTTAGCTGAATGTCCCAATTTTAGGCAATTGAAACAAAGCCTAGCGGCTTTAAGGGCATTTACACGTTCTTCGTGGTTCATTGCAAGAAAACGGGTGCACTTTGTAGTGCGATGCGGTCCTTGACAGTATGCGCATTTTCCTTCTTCTGCAGCTGCGACGTGGGATTTTACAGTACGTTGTGAACTAGTGCGCTGTTGCCCTCGAGATGTAGCGTCGGTCCTGCTGGACCACGTGACAATGGCTGTGGAGAGGCTGTGGGCGCGTTGGCTCAAAAATGACAGTAGCTCATCTAACTTCGGAATTTCGGTAGGCGAACAACTCATGTTCCATTCACGCTGAGTGACAGTTGGAAGCTTAGAAACTATTATGGGAACAAGCATAGCATCCCACTCTACGACTGGCAGCCCCATCACCCGTAACGAACGCAGTGACTCCTGCACTGTATCGACGATGGCCAATAATGATTCTGATGAGTCCTCTGACGATGGCTTAATGTTAAGAAGACGGGACACATGTGTTTCGGCTAACTTCTTCTTATTGTCACAGCGTTCCTTCAGAGCACTCCATAATTCGCCATAGCCGCCCGAGTATACACTTCCCACGAGTGGCACTGCATGTAAACTAACTGCCTGTCGCAACTTCCCCAATTTGTAGGCCTCAGGATACTCGGTGTTGTGCACGAGTAATTCAAATGCGTCCTTAAACGCTAACCAGGTTTGCATCGTACCGTCGAACGTTGGAATGGCGAGAGGCTCCAACCTAAACTCACATTCATGCGAATGCTGCCTTCCGGCTTGTACGTTTGGCTTCGCACCTGTAATCGCGCGGTTGAGAATGCAACAAGTGTCGTTGTATATATCTTCCACTTCTTCCCAGAGCGTTTCATGAGCCTCAACCTCGCCCTTTTCCGCACTGGCCACCAATAGCTCATGGTTAGCCACGAATCGCGCAAAGTGGCTTGAAACCGATTTCAATTCTTGCTCTAATTGGAATTCGTCATAGGAGCCAAGTTTACTCGCTTGCCCTCGTTCATATATGCGTTTAATTGATTTTATAGTTGACGCACGCAACCTTAATTCCGCCATTACCGAAAACTTAATAACTTTAAATTTAATGCAATTTGTCCTCACAGGAGGCACCAAAATGTTCTGTACAAAGCTTAATAAAACACGTTATTTCTCAACACGATTAGAAACACTTCTATTTTTTTTTACAAAGTTGGACACATATGTATATATATAGCAAAGCAAAGCTAAGTGAATGCTGGTAACGGCTAACTGTGCTTACATACAATATATTTATGTATATGGTTACGTACAAGTACATGGGTTGACAAAATAGGTACAAACATATGTATATAAAATTGGGAGAGTATAAGAGCGACACCAGTTTCTTACCGCGAGCATTTAAGTGGTGGCCAGATCAGTCGAATTCTGCACAGAAGAACTTAAACCGCTTCCTTGTGCCAGACATTACAAGTTGTTACTTTTTGATTTCCTATCATGATATATCTTCGCTCAAGAAAAGAAATTATCCAATTTTTAACTTTGAGATTTATGCCTATTTCTTCCAAAATATTATTGAGAGTGAAGGCATCAACCGAATCGTAAGCTTTTTCAACATCGATGCAAGCAGCCATTACTTGAATTTTCTTAATTTTTTTAAAATGAATATCATTTATTAAATCATTGCGCAGTATATCGGTTTTTCCTGAATCCATATGATCTGTCTGGAAGTAGTTTCTTTTCCGATATAAAATTATCAAAATAAATTTTAATGAGCCCTTCTATTGACTTAGCAAGAACGGATAAAAGGCATATTGGTCTATAATTATAAATGTTAGCAATTTCACATCCTTTTTTTAAAATAGGAATGATTTTGATTTCTCGCCAAATTTCAGGTACACTCCCAGCGTCCCAAGTGACTTGTAATGAATTAAATACATTTCTTTTTTCCTCATCAGCCAATTGCAACAACATTAACATTTTATACGAGATATTGTCATTACCCTTTGAAGAGTTAGGATTTCTTGGATGCAAAAAATTTTAAAAATTATTAAAATTAAATTCTTCAATTGAAACAAGATCATTATTATTGATGGATAATGTGGTTAAATTTTGCGTAGGGTTAAAATTTGTAATACTTCGTGTTATAAAAGAAAGATAATTGATTTGATCTTCCGAATTCCAACTATTATTTACTTTTTTACACATTGATATTTTTTTAGATTATTAACTTTACGCCACATATCACTATAATTTATGGGATTAGATAAGTCCTCAAAAACATTTTGAAAAGTTTCTTTCTTCGCCTTTGAAATTTCCTTTTGAAGAGATAATTGTTCTTTCATAAGAATTGTCATATTTTCAATTGTTCTATATTTCTCATATCTTTTCCTAGCATTATTTCGTAATTTATATAATCTATTAATTTCTTGATTCCACCACTGTTTGGGAACATATTTAATAGTATTACTTGAAGTTATTTGATTGAAAGAGTTTGTTATTTCTTCTATTTATTGAACCATTAATTTTTAAAAATTTAATTTCTTCCAAAATTTTATTATGTTGAATTATTTTATCCCGAAAGTTTATTTTATTGAAGTTAATTTCAATTAAAATTGGTATATGATTACTGTTAGTAATTTTAATTGGTAAAGTTTCCCAACTGGTATTAATGTTAGTAAAATTAGAAAAAGTAACATCCGGTGAGGAAAAATTTGAACCCACTGCAAAAGTAGGAGATTTATTATTAAGACAATAAAATTGAAAATCTCTAGACAAATTATCCAAAATTTGCCCTTTAGGATTAAAACGATTGTTATCCCACGTTGCACTCCTTGCATTAAAATCACCGCCAAATAAAGTAGGTTTATTGAAGTTTCGCAATGTAATAAATATTTTTTCAATTTCACGTTTAATAATATTATTATTTAGGTTCGGTTCGCAATAGATGCTAATTATATTGAAATTAGGGTTTAGATTCATTGTGGAAATTGCTATTACATCCAACCACGAATCCAAATTAATTAAATTAAATTTAATATATTTCGTAATGTATAATCCTGCGCCACCACCACGTCAGATCTATATGCACCAACAAAATTATAATTTTGTAAACTCGTATTCGAATTATTATTAATCCAAATTTCACTTAAAAGTGCAATATCAATTTTGTGATTCAATAATGTAAGTTCCAGTAATTCTTTTTTGGTTGGTTTCTTTAAACTTTGAACATTATATCGTAAAATTTTAATTTTATCCATCATTATTATTAATTAAAGATATATCTCTATTTATCTGATACCGATTAATTTTATCTTTAATTTCATTTAATTTTAATCTCATATTATTATTAATTACTTCATCATTATTAAGTAAAATATTATTAAGCATTTTATTAATTTCAGTTGTTAGTTTCTCATATTCAGTTACTCCAATAGATTTATTAAAAGAATTTTCCGTTATAACGTGATCCTTAATGCAGTCATTATATTCCTTCCAAGTCTTTTTTCTTTTATCTTCCTCCCTAATGTTATTTTCATTCAATTTAGCTATCGTGGAATAGGACCAATGTGAATGTATACGAATCGCTGCAATCTTAGTATTATCTTGGGTTGAGGTAGGATTATTGCTAGGTAACAAGCGAATTCTGAAGAATCCGAGTCCAATAGACTAAAACGATTTCCAAAAACTGCTGAGAATTTATTTCTGGCCTCTTTTAATGTCAACTTTTCAATTATCATAATAGATTTTAATGTATGAGCTTTGTTTCGAGGAGGACAGTTTTTATCCAAAGCAGAATGAGATCCTTTACAATTGGTACATTTAACAATTTCCT